TTACCTAAGGTAACAATAAACATGAAAAGCAGGATCAGTCAACAAAACTCTTATTAAATTCTCTAATTTTAATATTCTTATACTGTTACTATATTAGAGAGAAAGTTCCATCCTTCTAAACCAGGAACACTTTACATACCATACCACTTATACTGCCTGATAGCACAATTATAAATAAATATATCGTTGATTTATTCGTACCTCATCAGCTTCTTTCGTAACATAAGCAGCCACTTTAAACGACCCCAGATATTCATTAGACCACAGTTCTTTCTGTTCAATGCCTTCTTTGGTTCTGTCCAATAGTTCTTCAATAGTTTTATCATCATAGTGGATTTCATCCTCTGAAAACATTTCCTAACCCTTCATGATAGCTCACACAAAGAACATTACAGTTTCATTTTTCATAAATGTCTGAAGTAAACTGCAGTTTCATTGTAACAAAATTTAACTATGAGACTGACTAATTGTTTCTAGAACTTTCTGTGGTAATAAAATTAAAAATAAAGCTCGGGAAAGACCAAAAAATCTGCCAGAGTTTAGTTGGTTCTTATCAGTCCATCGTTAAAGTTTGAACAGGAAAGTATAAAACAAAAAACTGGACTACATATTTTACTACCAATCTATTAAATCACTTTTTTTCACATGAGAAATAAAGATAGTCATTTGTTAAAAGGAAAAGTGGAATTAACATATTGGTCAATACACAAATCCTTGAAATTTAACATTAACAATAAACACCTTTTCCTTCTTCATCCTTAAAAAGCTCTTCTGTGCCAAACCTCAGAATGTCATCTAACTCTTGTTTAGACATTGCATTCGTCCGGTTACCTATTCCTGGTCGTACAACCAGATGAGTAAGCATCATCTTTTTCTTTGCAACCTAAAATAAAAAAACAGGATAAAGATTGTACAATAAAATAAAGAAGCAGCTTTTTTCATTATCTGCACCGGGGAGGTTGACGAGTATAACTGGTTACTAGGGTCGTAAAATTCAAATAACACAGTTAAATTGATGGGGACAACCACTTTTAATTTATACATGTTCAAGCAAACTGCTTAGTGTTATGAAAGTAAACCAGTGTTGTTTATGAACTTGATAAACAATGTATGTAAAGTATACCAATTAACTCACTTGGGTAATTCTCTCCTCCACAGATCCTCGGGTCACAAACCGGTAGATCATCACCTTGTTTGACTGTCCAATCCTGTGTGCTCGACTGAAAGCCTGAAAACGTCACTACTTTAGTTTGTATTGATATAACATTTTTTTTATTTTATTGATATTGTAAAATAAACTTGTAGAGGTATTCTCTGTTTTTAATGTGGTAAGCTTTCAGTTACATTACACTAACTGTCATCAGGCCCAGTGATACTAATAACAGATCCAAAACTTTTCTGGCATTTATTTATAATTTACAGAAGCTAGTGTTTGGTTTAATTTATTTTGAAATCAGTGAAAGCTAAAGCTATCTGCACTAGCCTTCCCTAATTTAGTAGTGATAGACTACCCACCACCAACTCTTGGGCTATCTTTTGCCACCAAACAATGGGACTGACTGCCATATTGTAATGGTGCCACGGCTGAAAGGGTGAGTATATTCAGTGATGGAAATTCGAATCTGCAAACCTCAGATTGCAAGTTGAATGCCCTAACCACCAAGTCATGCCAGACCCGAAGTTAACGTTATTGAACATTACATAAAATAACTGGTTTTAAAAGTAATGTTAAGTTCTTAAACATGGAGAATACCAGAAAGCGTGTGTCTATTTTATCATATCGTTCATTTTAAAGTATTATATAGCTGTTATTCTATGAAATATATGAACACTGTTTAACTTGTATTACAAAGAATAAAAATACAGGTCACAATCACATCATCAGAAACAACAATCTACTCTTCTGCTTAAAAGAACATGTATGTAATTTATCTTTAAAGGTACCATGGGCTTCACCGAACCTGTATTTGTTGTTAGACAGCAATATTTTGCAGTGCTCTACTAACAGACAAACATAATACTATCTACAACAAACAGACCCAGAAAACGATCACTACATCTTTTACAATGAGTTTACCAAGTTGTTCAAGATGATAACACTTCAGATGAAAAATGAAACAAACTATTAACCGAATGTGAATGGGATAGGTCCACCGAGTTGGTCCATTAACGAAGAAATGTCAACTATAATTACAACTTTACAACATATATCTATATGAAAGGTGGCAAGCTTTAAGTAAAATGCACAACTCTGTTGTACGTAAACAATCGGGTCAGTTACAAAAGTACTCAATGATGAGGAATCCACTTTTAGATAACAGTTTGGAGACAGATTTTATGTGTAAAGAAGTAGACTATTACTGTACATTTGTTACTTGTAATGATTTGTTTGTTTGTAATTAAGCATAAAGCTACACAATGGGCTATCTGTGCTCTGCCCACCACGGGTATCGAAACCCGGTTTCTAGCATCGTATGTCCACAAACATACCGCTGTGTCACTGTAATGAAGTTTTCTTCTTTACTCATTCAAGCTATTTCCAAACTTTATTACAAAAGTATTTGCACTCAAGATATTTCTGTGATTTGATGACATCAGTCTGACTCGTACTCTTACAGTTCAGAGTGCAAGATGACGTTCGTGTAAAGAATAACAATACTTCTGTTCCCCATGCAGTTCTAGTACTGAATTTGCATAACCTCTAGAACCTCCAAAATGTTTATCTACAGTTTTCTCGTTGTTATTCGTTCTCCTCTACCACAAACAGTCGCTAAACCAGCTATGTAGGATAAAATGAATAGTTGATAATTCTGAAATAAATAAATATATATATATATAATACCATATTGAATGGCACTCTATAAAAGGTCCTGGCTTGCACACTTTGACCCCCACCCATGCACATACATTTAAAGTATCCACGTACATCTAATTGTACATATGTACAAGATCAGTCTGACTGTTAACACACTGTTATGTTTCTGATGATGAGCACTATAAATTATAGACTTTAATGTACCTAAAACTTGTAAGTTTTAGAGTACTTACATTGTAATTAACATTGTAAGTAACATTGTAAGTAACATTGTAAGTTACTTACATTGTAAGTAACATTATATTTTAGAGTACTTACATTGTAAGTAACATTGTAAGTTACTTACATTGTAAGTAACATTATATTTTAGAGTACTTACATTGTAAGTAACATTGTAAGTTACTTAC